CTCGCGGACACGCAGCGCATGGACCTGCTGGAGGCCGAGCTCCAGCGGCTCTCGCTAAGCAGCTCCCTGGCCGAGGGGCTCCACGCGGGCACCTCCCTGGAGGTGGCGCGGCTGTGCGCCGGCCTGGGTCGCAGCCAGGCTTCGGGGCACGGAAAAACACTGCACGAACCTCGGAGCTCGAAGGTCTGGGGAGGAGGAGGAGGAGGAGGAGGAGGAGGAGGAGGAGGAGGAGGAGGAGGAGGAGGAGGAGGAGGAGGAGGAGGAGGAGGGGAGGAGGAGGAGGAGGAGGAGGAGGAGGAGGAGGAGGGAGGAGGAGGAGGAGGGGCGAGGTGTGCCGCGACGCTCGAGAGGGGCACGGCAGGAAAGGGGGCGAGAAGGCCGACGGCCTCTCCCGCCCGTGCTGCACTGGAGTCGCGGACTTCTCGGCATCGATCGGGCGTGGCGAAGACCATCGAGGAGCATCCTGGATCATCTCGCGAAATCACCACCCACCAAACCACTCCAACCCAACCCGAAGGTCTCGATTTGCCCTCCATTTCCAGTTGGGGGGTCGGGGAACATCGAGAAAACACATATGGAACCCGTACCCCCCCCAACCCGAAATTCGGGTCTTCGGGTTGGGTTGGGGTGGTCTGGTAGGTAGTCACGAAAAGTCAACGCGCGAAGCCGGAAAGTGCCGGGGAATGGACGTCCGAGCGATGGTGGTTACCATTGGCGCCTGCCTGACAGTGGCCGCGGTCGGATTTGGCAGACAGCTGCTGTTGGGCATCGTGCCGATTTCGTTCCGTACCCACGTCGGGCGTGTGCATAGTTGGCTCTCGTGGGGCCCCTCGTCGCTACGGCTGGACGCACCTCGGAAAGCTGGCGCGTTTGGACCCCGGGAGGGGCCTGGGGGCCGATTGTGATTTGCCGCCGTCTCGATTCGCGCTGCTCCGAGGAGGTCCGCGCGGACTTCTCGGATCGGCGCTGGGCCCCCCCCGTCCCGTCCGCGCCTCCGGGGCCAGCCCCGGCGCGCGGAGCGCGCCAAGGAGGGGCCGACTCGACGCAAGAGTGACCTTTCGCCGGAGGGACCTTTGGTGCGGGCACAGACGGGTCCTCAGATGGCTGAGAGCGAAGCAGTCCCAGACCCCCTCGAGTTATGGAAAAATCACGACGGGAGGTTCTTCACTATTTTTGGCCTTTGGGGGCCCTTAGCGGCCCTCAGGACCGTCAAAAAACGACTCAGGACGAAAAACCGGTCCCGGGGAATGGGTCGAGACCTCGGGGAGTCGACGCCATGAAAAAATCATGACGTCGGGGGTCTGGGGTAGCAGCGCCCCGCGCGCCCAGGTTTCGCCCCCCCGCGGCCCCCGAAAGGCCGCGCGCCAACGGTCACTCTTACCCAGGGGGTCACTCTTGCGTGTCGCCGAAGGGGGGCCTGGCGCAGATCCCAGAAATCCGCCCGGAGCTCCGAGGGTTGTTCTTCATGTTGTGTCTTCTTTCTCCAAGGCTGCGGCATTGGGAGACCACTTCCGGAGCCACGAGTATCGGAACGAGATACTCCTGAGCTTCTTCGTCGGGAGCTCGGTGGCCTTCATGCTCTCCAGCATCGTCCTCCTGTGCCTGCCGCCCCAGGAGGTGCACACGTACTCCGAGGCGTACTTCCTGACGCCCTTCCCGGTGTTCCGGGTGGTGTTCTACCTGCTGCTCACTCTGTGGTGCATGTAGAGGGCCACATGCGAACCCTTCCCCTACCCCCCACGGTTTCTGAGGGGGAGGGTTCGCATGTGGCCACCCAGCATGGGTGCGGTTGCAAGCATATGCGACGGGCGCGACATCAATTATCGAAGGCGCCCTCGGCGAACTGCCGCCACCCCCTCTTTGGCGGCGCCCGTGCGGCGCCAGGCGTCGGGCCGGAGACTGGCCGGCCTTGAGCTATCGGACCACGTGTCCCCCCAGCCGTTGCGGAGACCCTTTGGGCGACCTTCCCAGACCCCCGACGTCATGATTTTTTCATGACGTCGACCCCCCGAGGTCTCGACCCATTCCCCGGGACCGGTTTTTCGTCCTGAGTCGTTTTTTGGCAGTCCCGAGGGCCAGCAAGGGCCCCCAAAGGCCTCAAATAGTGAAAAGCCTCCCGTCGTGATTTTTTCATAACTCGAGGGGGTCTGGGTTTGGGGGGGCTTCTGGGGGGCTCCTCTGGGCTTCCAAAGGGGCCCGTTGGCCCTCGCAGGCCGTCCTGGGAGCCCCCCATGGGCCGGCGCGTGGCGCTCCGTGGCTGGCTCTGTGGCCAGCTGGGAGGCCCGCGGGGGCCGCCTCGTGGGCGGGCCTCTCTGGCCGCTTTGGGGTCCCTCTTGGCCCGTCGTGGGGCCCTCCTCCCCCTCCTCCTCCTCCTCCTCCTCCTCCTCCTCCTCCTCCTCCTCCTCCTCCTCCTCCTCCTCCAGTGAAAGGGTGCAGGGGAGAGCGGGAGCGAACGGGAGCGAGCGCTGCCGCATGCCTGCATTTTCCGTAGCCTTTGGCTTAGAGAAGGCGGCGCGCCCGCCGAACTGTCGACAGAGATTGAAGCGAGACCAGTCAAAGAGCGGCACCTCTCAGCATGGTTATGATGACGATCATTTCTCTTCTGCGTGCTGCCCGGCCGTTCGGCCGCAAGGAGGAGGAGGAGGAGAGCACCAGAGGTCTTTCGACTCTGGTAGCGGAGCCGGTTGGCTCTGCAGGGTCGGCTGCAGTTCCGGCCGGTTCTGCGTGCAACGCGAGCGGCGGGAGGCCGCAGCGTGGCGACCACGGCAATGGGGTGGAGTCGAGCTCAAGGCGTTGTACCTGCTGTGCTACGACCGCTCCATGTGCTGCCTGCCCCGTGCAGGCCACGACCTCATCAAGTACTGGATGCTCTTCTTCTTCGACGAGTTCGACGCCGAGTAAGATCGTGTTGCTCATCGGTCTCCTCGGCATCCTGATCAACGTAGCGGGCTCGGCGGAGCCCCTGGGCTTCAGGCCCATGACGCCGCAGCGCGGCCAGCGCATCGGCGAGTCGCGGCTGCCGGCGCCGCAGTGGGGCCAGCCCCACGAGCAGAACGTGCAGGGCCTGCCGGCGGCGGAGCTGGCCCAGCAGAGCACGTCGAAGGTCCCACCGTTTTGGGCGCCGTACCTCGAGCAGCGCGGGTACCCCTTCAGGCTGTGGGTCCAGGACGTGATGCTGTGGTGCGCGGCGACGGAGCTGCAGCAGCACCAGCGCGGCCCGGCGATCGTCCAGCGGCTCGGCGGCACGGCGAGGGACCTCTGCCGCGAGGTGCCGGTCGAGGCCATCGCGCACGGCAGGTTCGACCAGCTTGGCAACCTGGTCGAGGACGGAGTGCAGATGCTGATCACTGGGCTCCGGCGGCGCTTTGGCCCGCTCGACGTCCAGTCGTCGATCAGCACCATCGTCGAGCTGCTCACCTTCCGCAGGCAGGAGCGGGAGAGCGTCGACGACGCGATCACGCGCTTCGAGGCGCTGCGCGCCCGAGTGGCGCAGCTGGACGACCCGTTCGTGCTGCCGACGCCGGTGCTCGCCCTGCTGTTTCTGGAGGCCCTGCATGTGCCCAAGGCTGTGTACCCCTTGGTGCTGCAGGCCAACAACGGCCAGCTGCCCCTGACGCTCGATCAGCTGAACAGCGTGATCGGGATGGTGCGGCAGCAGGGCCACTTCGCGGAGCATACCCACGCGGGACCTCAGAACTTGGCTGAAGGGTACCGCGGCAAAGGACATCATGGTCATCATTGGTTTACTGGCGAGAGCGACGGCGGCGCAAACACTTGGAACGACACGGCCGCTTATATGCACGGTCAGAACGCAGCCGGCGCGGCAGGGAGCGCTGGATCTACGTCCCAGCACTACGTGGTCCAGGACGACGAGGGCTACGACTACTGCGCCGTCTGCTCGAGCTACCTGTACGAGGACGAGCCCGGGGACGAGGACTCGATGACCGACGACGACGACTTGGACATTTCCCAGTTCACTCAGGAGGGGCTGCAGGAGTATTACGGCGACTCCGAGGGCTGGGACTACGACACCCTGCTACATGAGTACCTATTCGCGAAGCGCAGGTTTCGCCACTTCGTCCAACGGAACAGCCGCCGCTCTCGCTTCCCGCGCAGCAACTGGTCCATCCGCATGAGCAGCGGCAAGGGCGGCAGCAGCTTCGGACGCGGGCGAGGCCACGGCAAGGGATGCCACTTCGGCGGATCAGCGGTGAACCCAGGCTCGCTGGCGGGCGGAAAAGGCAAGAACAAGAAGGGCGGCAAGCACTGCATGTCAGGCACGCCCGGCGCCACCAATCCCCGAGGCAGGGACGGCCGCATCATGCGGTGTCACGAGTGCGACTCGGAGACCCACCTCGTGGCCGCCTGCCCCAAGCGCAAGGGCAAGGGCAAGGGCAAGCACTTCATGTCCTGGAACGCTGGCAGCGCCGCGACGGGGACACAGCAGGCCGGTGCTCCCGCCGCCGACCCAGCGTTGGCCGCCTATGCGCCCGTGCCCGCGCAGCCGCGGACTGGAGCCTTGGCTGGAGTGCTGCATTGGTTCACTGAGGACGCCCGGACGCCTGGCCTGCAGATCGACGACCTTGACGAGGACACCGTCCGCGAGGCTCTGGACTGGGAGACCCTCGACATGCGCGACAACGTCGCGGAGCACGACATGCTGACGGAGATCCAGGCCAGCGTGCAGGACCGAGCTGTGGAGGAGCAGCCCCCGGTGACAGCTGGGCGATCAGCGTCCGTGACCAGCCCAACATGGTTCCCATGGTGGCGAGTGGATCAGTTCGAGGACGCCGTCGGGGAGACCTACTTGGTTCGCACCCGCATGCAGAACAGGGGCGGCGAGGCCCTGCTGGTGGACCCCGGGAGCCCAGGCAACCTTACTGGCGACGAGTGGGGCAACAGGATGGCAGCGCGACAGCAGCAGGCAGGACGTCCACCGCCTGTCCGCACCCCACTCGACCGGGTGCTTGAGGTTGGTGGTGTGGGCTCGGGATCTCAGCAGGCCACGCGCGCCCATCGCTATCAACTGGCGCTGCAGGGAGGGCAAGCCGCGACCTACGAGGCGCCGGTGCTCCCGAACAGCAGCGTGCCGGAGTTGCTCGGACGAGCATCGCTGCGGGACCAGCGCATCCTGCTCGACTGCTTCAACAATCGGATGTACCGCATCGGCCCGGGCGGCTACTCCCTGCAGCTGAGTCCAGGATCATCGCAGTACCATCTGGAAGAGAGCCACGCCGGTCATCTCATGCTGCCCTGCGACCTCTACGACGAGACGGGAGCATCGGGGAGTTCGGGACCTACGAGGACGATGGCATTGGCGACTTCGACGACATCCGGTCCGACATCCTTGCCAGCAGCGACCTCACCGACTCCCGCATCTACCAGGACGGCGAGCCAGAAGACCACCACTGCGACGCCACCCGGCAGCGGCGCCGCAGCAGGCAGCGCCAGCGGGCAGCCCGACGCGGGCAGCCTGCACCTCTGATCGAAGACACCCCATCTCGGTGCTCGGGACGGCGGGGGCACCAGGGAAGTACAGGGGAGACCGCCATCGGCACGGGTGTTCGGCGACTTGCAGAACCTGTGCCAGAACGCGCTGCACGGATGCGGATATGCGGTGGATCACAACTGCGACGTTCACCGATTCCTCGGGCAGGAGGATAAGTGGGCGGATTCCCTGCGCCACCAGCAGCCGGAGCTCGTTTGGATCAGCCTGGCTCAGCCGGGCACGTCGCGAGGCACCCGCAACGACAAGCGAGCCAAGCGTTTCGAGTGCAAGATCGCTCGAGCTCAACTTGAAGGGCATCGCTGCTGCATCGTCGAGGCGGACGAGGGTAGCGCGGTGTGGGACATGCCCGACATTTTGGAGCTGCTGGACGACAGAAGGTGGCACGCAGGACGACTAAGATGGTGCAATCTCGGTGTGCGCGATGCTCGAGGATCACCAGCGGCGCAGACCACGCGCATCGTCAGCAGCAGCTACTTCGACGACCACGACGCGAAGTGCCGCTGCGGTTGGCCAGCAGGCCGACATGTTACACGGAAGACTGCTGCAGATCGGTTGGACTTCAAGGCCAGAGGGGTATCTGCCCTGGTCAAGCGGATGGTGGCCGCTGGTTGCTTCGACGGCGGCGCGAGATCCGACGCAGCCGACGGATTGTCGCCATCTGCGACAGCTACATCACGCCGTGAGGCCGGGGGTGATTCCCGACCCGGGTCGTCAAGGACAGATCCGACGACTACCGGGCCTCCAGGATCTCGGACAGCGGCCTTGGGAGAAGCCGACGAGGAGCAGTCACGAGGTGAGCAACGTCGACCTGGCCGAGTATCATTCGCAGACGATGTCGACGAGACCGGCTGCAAGGTGAGCACGCTGACCGCGAGCTTTCCCACCGAGCAGAGGACGCGCGACAAGGCGCGCAAGGCAGCAGACCCAGAGCGCAAGGTGAAGAAGAGGCCGCAGACAGTGGAGCAGGTCTTCGACGATTGCGGCTCCGATTTCACGAAGCTCTACGTGGCGAACGAGTACGAGCTGGACGAGGTTTGCTACGGCGCCGAGCTCAGGGAGGACCAGTACATCGACGAGCAGCCGTACGTCATGATGTCCGAGTTCTTTGGCATGATCGGCTCGGAGGCGCACCTGAGCGAGAAAGACGAGCAGCAGAACTTCTTCAGCTCAGTCAAGGATATGGACACATACATGAACCACTACTACGGCCACCTGCAGTACGACGACGTCGCGGAGTTGTGCGGTGGCGCATCCGGAACAACCCGGTTACTCGTGCGACGAGGATATCGGGGCGGTCCCAACTTCGACCTCATCTGCGACTGCAACCTGATGACGCACGAGGGCCAGAGGCAGTTTTGGGAGTATCTGTATAATCGCAAGCCTCTTGTCTTACTTATTAGCACGCCCTGCACGAGCTTGAAGGGGTTTTCAGCGCTCAACAGGGTCATCAACTACGACGGTTGGCTCCGCAGTCGCAAGACATCAGTGGGGTTGGCCCGCATCGCCGCTGCAGCGGCGTGCACGCAGATGGACGCCGGCCGCCACTTTGCTTCGGAGCAGCCGCTAGGCAGTGACTTTTACAAGCTCGACGACTGGCAATACATCGCCAACAACTACGCGGTGGTGTGGCGCCAAGTCGACCAGTGCATGGCCGGCAAGATCGGGCGGCGAACGGGATTCCCGATCAAGAAGTCCTCTGAGTTCTGGGCTTCGGACGAGCGCCTGATCGCCGGACTCAGGAAGTTTCGCCGCGACGGCCAGCACGAGCACGCCTTGCTGGCCCATGGTGGCCGAGGACCCTGCCCAGAGCGTGACAAGTGGCGCCTGGAGAACCCCAAGGATCACGCGGAGTGGGCGATTGGCATCTGCCGGGAGCTGGCAGTGAGCATTTCTCAGATGGTGGAGCGCGTGAGGTATCAGGGACACCACCTCGTCGTGTACGAGTGCTACCCCACGGTTGCTGTGCAATCCGGACCAGCTGGCTCCTCTGCTTCCTCGGCGCCTGCAGCAGCAGCAGCAGCGGCAGCGCCAGCCTCAGGAGCAGCAGCAGCGGCAGCACAAGGAGCAGCAGCAGCGGCAGCACCAGCAGCAGCAGCAGCAGGAGTACCACGCGCTGTGCGGCCGTGCGCAGGATGTCGGCATCATCGGCCGGCTGACCATCCATCCCATGATCGAGGGGAGACATGCAAGCATAAATTTGTGCCGACGAATCGCGACCTGAAGTGCCCGGCGTGCCGGAGTGGTCGCGCGGCCTCAGACACACGACATACCCGAGTACCTGGAGAATGCCGAGCAGACGGTGTTCTTCCAAGAGCAGTTGGACCTCGAGAGCTGCGACCGCGACAACCACCAGCCTCAGGAGCCGACGGCGAATCAGGCACCGAGCGCCGCGCGAGCCGACGCGCCAGATGCCGAACCTGAACCGCCACCGCCTCCACCTGCGCATGCGGAGCGTCGACCTCGATTGGCTCGAGCGGAAGGGCGACTTCGATCGCGTCTGCCAGCAGCTGGAGAGGCGGAGCCGGCTGAGGCATCAGGTGGCGCCTCGGGATCGGCGGGCGCCATCGGCGAGGCACCCGTCGCGGAGCAGCCGGCTGCGGCCCCAGCCGCACGAGCTCGAGGCGTGGATGCGGGGACGCAGGCTCGAGGTAGTGACGAGCCAGGCTGGGCCGCGTTTGACCTTGGGCACGCGCTTCGACTGCTGCACAGCCCACATCAGGAAGTCGTTCGGCGCCAGCTTCGACGACTTCATGTTCGATTTTGGTACGCTCCAGCAGCTCGCCTCAGAGAGCTGCTGACCAAGGCCGGCGCTCCTGCGTCTACGCTGGCCCTGGTGAAGGAGATCTGCGACACGTGCCGGGTGTGCAGGCTATGGGCGAGACCGGGACCGAAGAGCATGACGGTCTCTCGGCTCGCGACGGGCTTTAACGAGATGGTGCAGTGGGACATCCTCTACATCGGCGAACAGATGGTGGCCCACATGATCGATGAGGCGACACGCTGGACAGTGCTTCACATTCTGGACCGCAAGACGGCGATCATGATTATCGCCGGCATCACCCAGGGCTGGCTACGACCTCATGGCCCCATGAAGCTGCTGATTGCCGACATCGAGGGCGGCCTCCATGGCGAGGAGGCGTACCAGTGGCTGGACCGCTGGGGCATCGAGATGAAGGCCAAAGAGGAGGGCTCGCACGCGCAGCTGGTGGAACGCCATCACGACTTGGTGCGCAAGATCATACACCGCGTGCAGGCCCAGCTTGCGGAAGAGGGCATCGTGATGCCGTTGGAGATCGTGATCATGGAGTGTGCCCTCATCAAGAACCTCCTCATCACCGTGGCTGGCTACAGCCCCTACCAGGCGGTGTACGGCCGGCTTCCGCCCCTGCTCGCCGAGTTCGAGCCGGTGAGCGACTGTCAGATTGACGACCAGTCGGCTGGCATCCCGGGGATCTCCCGACGCCATCATCGGCTACGCGAAGTTGCAATGCAAGCCATGGTGGAGATGACCGCGAAGGACAGGCTGAGGCGCGCGCTTCGATCCAAGACGCGCGCCCCGCACGAGGCGTTGCAGCTGGTGGTCGGCGACCAGGTTGACTTCCACCGGCCGCCGAGCACGAAGGAGGAGTCGGGGTGGCGCGGCCCGGCGACCTTGCTGCAGGTCGGACCTCCAGTGCTCATTCGATGGCAGGGACGAGTGTTTCAAGTACGACCTCAGGACCTTCGGCGAAGCCTCGTGTACTTCGTGATGTTCACGAATAACATCTTCTTCGAGGCAGGATCGCGCGACCCGGTGGCCACCATCATGAGCTACGCGGACCAGCTGGACAGCAAGGTCGTGCGCGTCGGGTGGCTCTTCGACGCCGGGTGGAAGCGGACCGCGGACAGCCAGAAGCTCAGCGAGTTGGTCCTGGCGGTGTTGCATGTTGCCGCCAGTGGCTTCTACTTGGTGGGCTGCATCGGCGCTCGAGTGGCCAATGGCGTGTCCGTGCTCGAAGGAATGGTCGGATGCGACCACAGCTTCCTGTGGTGGTGGCGGCGCGGACGCCCAGAGCTGTCCTGGTACCACGAGGCGTCGGGTTCTGCTCGATTGAAGTTGGCTCCGATATTTGGCAAGGAACACTGGCGGGGCGTTAGCTTCGTGCAGTTCATCATGACGGACGACGAGTCTGTTCGTGAACTTCGGCGACGTGAACCCGAGGTTCCGCATCTTGGGGGTCCATGGTTCGGCAACCTTCCACACGCGCGACGGTATGAGCAGCCAGAGCGACCCGAACTGGACCGTTTCAGGACCCGCCGGAGCTTCAGGAGGAAGACTTCGACATGCCCTGGCAGGACAGGCCGATATCCGACACGAGCATCCCAAGCGCATCTAGACAGACGAGTGCATCAATGCCAGTGCCCGATACGAGCATATCGAGCGCATCTAGGCAGACGAGTGCAGCATCGGACTTTACGAGGAGTCGGAGCAACCGAGGGCAACATCGACCACGAGGGCCTTCTCCTGCTTCGGCCGTCGCCGACGACGCCGTGCCGCCTGTGAAGCCGCCTGTGAAGCCAGGCGGGGGAGCTCGAGAGAGATCGCGCTCACGTGATGGCCCGGATCGTGATCATGGAGCCCGAGGCTCAGGTGAGCCAGCGGCGGCAGCTGAGGCTCCTGCACCCCTGCATGAGCCAGTGCTCCCGATCAAAGACGATGGTGGCGAAGACGACGACGGCGACTCGGACAGCGACGCGACCCAGGAGTACCCGTTCGCGAGCTGGCAGTACATGAAGGAGCAGGCCGCTCTGCCTGCTGTTGATACCGAGTGCGCCCAGAACGACTTCTTCTTCGCAGCTCCGGACGCAGATCACGTGGCGGAGGCAGTAGAGGATGATTCTTCGAATTCCCGACCCGACTGCGTCGAGATATCGGCATAGGTGCGCCGCTTATGTACTGGGTGTACCCTGAGGTGGAGCACATACGACGCCCTGGAGCAGGTGAGATCTACATCCTGCGCGTCTACAACACGGGCAAGCGCGAGATCGTCGTCGAGCGCGAGATGAACGTGCTCACGCTGGAAGAGGCCCGAGCTCACGATGTTGAAGTACGTCAGGCCATGAAGGACGAGCTCCAGCGCTGGGCGGAGTTGAAGGCATTCCAGCGCTTCCCGAAGGACCAGGCGACCAACATCATCGACTCGCGCTGGGTGCTCAAGTGGAAGGAGATCGATGGCAAGAAGCAGGTGCGCGCGAGGCTCACGGTGAGAGGCTTCAAGGACATGCAGTCACCGGAGCTGTCCACTTTTGCGGGTACTACGACACGATGGGGCCAACGACTGGTGAACCAGGTGACGGCACAGCGCAAGTGGCGATTATTCTCAGCGGACATCAGCCAGGCGTTCTTGCGCGGTCTCACCTTCGAGCAGGTCGCCGCCATGGGCGGCGAGGTGAAGCGGAAGGTGCAGTTCACGATGCCGCCAGGATCGATTCCGGTCCTCCGGCAGCTGGAGGGCTACGAGGACTACAACCCCGTGACAGAGGTGTTGTTGCTCCTGCGCTGCGGTTTCGGCCTGAAGGACGCGCCGAGGCTGTGGCAGGTCATGTTGAAGCAAGTGCTGGAGAAGACCGGGGGCAAGGCGCTCATCAGCGACCCGCAGATCTACGTGTACCACAACGCGAAGGGCGAGTTGCAGATGATCATGTCCTCGCACGTGGACGACCTGAAGGGCGGCGGCGAGGACCACCTGCGGGAAAAGGTGCTGAGCATGATAGAGAGCGAGTTTGGGAAGTTGAAGCGCCAGTACGACTGCTTCGAGTGCATCGGCATCATGCACGAGCAGGACCCTGTGACCAAGGCCATCTGGACGCATCAGCAGCACTACGTTCAGCAGCTGCGACCGCTTCAGGAGGACCAGTACGTGATGGAGAACGAAGATGGCCAGGTGAGCGTGGAGAGCCACGCGGCGTACATGTCGCTGCTCGGTGGAATTGCATGGATGACGCAGACGATGGCACCCATAGCAGTGTATGTCAGCTACCTCCAGCGGCAGGCCAAGAAGCCGGCGGTCGGGGACATCCGGAAGATCAACCGGCTGCTGAAGTGGATCATAGTGAACGTGAAGCAGCTCGGAGTTCGGTTCATCGAGTTGGACGCGACCCGGGTGCGGCTGGCCGTCGTTAGCGACTCGGCCTTTCACGCCATGGAGTTCGAAGGTTTGGCGATACGAGGCTGTGTGATTATGTTGCTGGAGGCTGGCGACGAGGTGCTTCAAACTGGATCGACGTACAGGATCGTGATGCTTGACTGGTACAGTCGAAAGCAGAACAACGTTGTCAGGTCCACCTACGCCGCGGAGCTCATGGCGCTGTTGGACGCGCTCGGTACCGGCACTCTCATGAATGTGGCGATGACCGAGATCAGTGAAGGAGTATGCACGGCGAACCAGATGCGAGTGCGGCAGGAGGCTGGCGACCTGGTGTTGAAGATGATTGCTGCCATTGACGCGAAGGCAGTGTTCGACGCTATCTCCGCCGACACCATCAAGGTCACCACGGACAAGCGGATGTTCGTGCCGACGCTCGCAGTACGTGAGCAGATAGACCGCTTGCAGCTGGCGCAGCTTAGTTGGATCGACACCTTGGACATGCTGGCGGACGGGCTGACGAAAGGCGAGCTCGACCGGACAGCACTCGTGAAGTTGGGCTTCAGCAGCGAGTGGCACTTGAGCGGGCTGCAGCCGGTTGCCTTCTCTGTGCGCAGTGTGCTGAAGTGCCGCGCAGAGCGCTAGAATTCCCGACCCGAGTGAAAGGGTGCAGGGGAGAGCGGGAGCGAACGGGAGCGAGCGCTGCCGCATGCCTGCATTTTCCGTAGCCTTTGGCTTAGAGAAGGCGGCGCGCCCGCCGAACTGTCGACAGAGATTGAAGCGAGACCAGTCAAAGAGCGGCACCTCTCAGCATGGTTATGATGACGATCATTTCTCTTCTGCGTGCTGCCCGGCCGTTCGGCCGCAAGGAGGAGGAGGAGAGCACCAGAGGTCTTTCGACTCCTCCTCCTCCCTCCTCCTCCTCCTCCTCCTCCTCCTCATCCTCCTCCTCCTCCTCCTCCTCCTCCTCCTCCTCCTCCTCCTCCTCCTCCTCCTCCTCCTCCTCCTCCTCCTCCTCCTCCCTCTTGGGGGGCCTCTTGAGCGATCTGGGGGGCTTAGGGGGCCGTCCTGGGACGTCGGAGGCCCCAAAAGGCCGGGTGCTGCCAGAAGCACCCCTGGCCCAAGGTAACCCCAGGATTCTGGGTGGCCCAGACGGCCTCCAGGGCACCCCTCACGAGGCCCAGGGGGCCCCGGGGGCTCCAAAATAGTGCGAAAAGCTGGGGGCACCTTGGGCCAGGGGCTCTTCTGGCAACACCCCAAAAGGCGAGAACGCTGAAAGCATTGAAACACCTACGGACACACCAAGGATTCCGGTCGGTCTCTCGGGACCTTCTTCGGGGTCCTCTCCTTGGAGCTCACTTGGGGCGTTTTCGGTGCCTCCTGGGCCGTCTTGTGGCCATCTTGGGCGTCTTGGAAAGCTCTTGGGCCGTCTCGCAGGCCTCGTGGGCCCTCTTGGGTGCTTCTTGGGGCCCTCTTCAGCCGTTTTGGGGCCCTTTCTGCTTTTGGGAAATCGGCGCGTGAACACGCGGGAAATCCCAAGAGCTCCCAGGATCGCCTAGATATGGGGGTTTTCGGCCTCTTTACGAGTGCTACAGGCTAGTCATGCAGAGGACTCGGAGGACCCGAGGACACTCCACTCAATACCTCGCGGCACGGTGGCGGATATGTTCATTTTAAGCGTAGATCCACGATGTCGTGTAGATCCTAGCTATTTTTTCTCCCGCGCCGCGTTTCTGACGACGTTGTGGGTTCTCTTCCTGGGCCTGTACGTCATCGACTACAAGTGGGAGGTGCTTCCCTTCATCGGTGAGCAGCCTGGCGCACGAGAATCTGGTCATTACGTCATCTACCCCGTGACCCTCCTGGTCTTGACCGCCATGGTCTTCCTCTGGCCTTCGCAAATCTGCCGCAACAGATATAAGGCTGATGCTGGTCCTGCGCTGCCCATGGCCACGGGGGCCGAGGGGCCGTCAGACAGACCTTGCTCGGCCAATTGCAGAGGCAGGATTTCCTATCAGCGTGGAAAACAAAAGGAGCTGCACAATATACAGATCACACAGTCACCGTATAATCGAGTGCCAGGTGAGCGAAACTGGACGAGGCAAGTTGGCCCGAGCAAAGCACCTCCAAACTGAACCAAGCTAAGCTGAACCAAGGCAAGTCGACACGACCTGAGTAGAGCCTAGCGGAGATGGGCAATCTTGAGACAAGCGAAATGAACAGACTAAGCTATGCCGAACCACGCCAACCCAAGCAAAGTTGAGTTTCCCCAAGCTTGAGCTCAGCGCGTGCTCCGCCAATACGAAGCCAAGAACAACTAACGCAAGCTACGTGTGTGACGCCAGCTTGGCCTGAGCCAAGCCAAACTACGTTCAGCTTAGCTGTGCCAGGTGAAGCCCCGGGCACAGCCTCGGCTAGGCTTGCAGCTACGGTTACAGCTACAGCTGCAACTAAGGCAAGCTAGCTCAGACCGGGGTACATCATAAGCTACCGCAACAAATGTGATTCCGTCGGGTGGACCCCGAACTGTAGCCAGAGCCATATGACTGGGACCCTGTGGCTGGCAATCGGTCTTACCTACAAATAAGGTATGACCTTTCGGGTGGGGTCCTACGGGAGCGACTGGACAAGCCAACAGGAAAGCCCGGACTTTCTGGTCCGAGCCTTCTGTGGCAAGACATCCTGGGGGGCATCCGCACTACGCAGTTCGGAAGGGTGTACAAAGCAGAAAGGTCATCCGAGAAACTGCACTATGTTCAGAACCTGGCGCTGACAGTAACACTACATATCACCATATCATTACTATACACATAATCTGACATGCATGGGGCAATTCAGTGAGACAACCGTAAGAATGAAAGCTGTTGGTGGCAACGAAAGTGGCAGCGTGAGTCAGAATTGTAGATGAAGTTGTATTGGCAATTACCCCAGAAAGAAACGATGCATCAGGCTAGCATTGATGATGGTGAGACTGGCGAGGATAACTTGAATCTCATTAGATACGTATCCAATCTACGGTTCGCACCACTAATACAGAGCAGTCCAGGTTACGAATGCAATGCGAATGTCAACGGTCACAAATAAGGCATGCGGTAAAGGCACGGAGTATGCATCATATATGAAAAATTGTTGTTTCTGTTGTGCGGGAAACCCATGCCATCATCACAACGAATCGCGTTCCGATGTCATTAATTGAATGCCCCTGAGGGGGGCAGACAGCGCCGCCCCACCTTTTTGGGGACCGTGGATTTTGGTTTTGGGGAGGGAGGTGGAGGCTTTGGGGGGGTGGGCGGAGGAACAGAGGACACTTGAGATGATCCCGGAGGGCGAGGGGGGGTGCAAGACGGCCCCAGAAGGCTGCCCAGAACGCGACCAAACTTGGCAATTCAAGGGATCCCAGGGGGCGAGAGGGGAGTGGAAGACGGCCCCAAAAGGCTGCCCAGAACGCGACCAACTTGGCAATTCAAGGGATCCCAGGGGGCGAGAGGAGGGTGGAAGACGGCCGCAGAGGGCTTCGACAGTCGCCAGGCAATTGCCGAAGGGGGCCCCAAGAGGCCGCGAAGACAGCCCAAAAGGGCACCCAAGGGTGCGGAACTTGCGGACGAAACCGAGGAGGGATACGGAGAGGCAGAAAGGAGCATTCCCGGTCAGTTTGGGGGCCTCAGGAGGGCCTCCAGGGACTTCCTGGGCGCGCCGAAGACCGCTCAGGACAGCGCAACAAAAAGGCGTCCAAACGGCCGAGGAGGGCCCCGAGAGGGTGTCAGGACGGCCGCAGAGAGCTTCCGCATGCTCCAGGGTGGCCGCAAGAGCCCGCGGAGATACACGGGAGCTTCAAGAGAAGCACCAGGAACAGCCCGATAAGGACAGAATCGACAGAACCCCATGTGTTGTTCTATGTTCTTTGCTTGTCGGGGGGTTCTGGTGTGTGAAGCTCGAAGAGAGGTGGAGAGGCATCAGGGACGGCCGCTGGTGGCCCGAAGGACGGTGAAGATCAGCCCAGAACGAGCCCGAAGAGGCCCCCCAAACCGGCCCAGTAGGCTCATGTAGGCTCCCAGGGAGGTCTCTGAGAGGGCCTGGTGGCATTCGGAAGCCGAGCACGTGAAAGGGGGGTCGTTTCGGGACGGGTGGCCAGAGAGCGCCTCGGCCGCAGCCTGGGCCCTCGAGCCGGCGGAAAGAGGGCTGGGGGGAGGACTCTAAGAGGGATTGTGAGGGCTCAGAGGCAGGGATAGGTATGAATAGCGCACTGGTGAGATGACGTACAGGAAGCATTATTGAAGACTATGTTGTGGATCTCACGCGCCATACCCAGTGGGACAGGCAGGAATGTCCTCGAGGAGATCTTTGGAGATGTGGCTTCCGCCCTAAGAGAGCTGATAGACTGCCCCAGAGGGCGCCAAGATGGCTCAAGAGAGCTCCAGCAGAGTTTCGAGGCGTACCTGGGTCGTGGGTCAGAGTCCTCATGGATGCTTCTTGGCGTCTTTTCGGGGGGCTCTCGGGAGCGAGGCTTCTGGGGAGCCTCTTGTGGGCTTCTTGGGGGCCTCTTGGGGCTTCGTGGGGTCCTGCTGGGGGTCGTAGGGGGCCTCTATCAGGGCCTCTTTTCGGGCCTCTTGGCGCTCTCTTGGGGCCTCTTGAGGGGTCGAGAGCTCGAAATGTCCGTTCGGGTTCCCCCTCTGGGCCCCTTCTTGGGGCCATCCCGGGCCTTCTTGGAGGCCTCTCGGGCCTTCTTGGGGCCATCTTAGGCCATTTGGGGGCCCTCTTGGAAGCTTTTAAGGCTGTCTTGGAGCGATCTTGGGGCCTCTTGGGCCGTCCAGGCGGTCGGCAGCTCGACAAGGCGGTACCGCCTAAAGCGTCCGAAAGCCATGCAAAATCAATGATTGTTGTGTTTTTTCGGGGCCTCTCGGAGTCCTCTTGGAACCCTCCTGGAGCGTCTTGGGCGCTTCTTGGGCCGTCTGGGAAGCGACGTGGGCCATCTTGGAACGCTCTTGGCCTGAGGCCGTGGGGCCTGCCACCCATTTGGCGCCTCATTGGGGTGCTCCGGGGGCCCCCGAGGCCGCGCCCAGGAGTTCGGCATCTCTGACCCGACGCTGCCGTGCCGGGAACTTGCCGGGACCTCGCCGAGGTATTTTTCGTCCGAGGACCCCAGGGGTCGCCACGCGCGCGCGAATTGGAAACATTTTGAGATTATCATTGGAGATGTTAGCACGCTTCTGGCCCGTCGGGCTGGCGAATTATTCGTTACATATTGTTACCAAGGGTGCGGAAACGAATGCTGCCAAACACATGTAATCGGCTGTGAATTGTTGATGTTCCGCGTATCCCCACGAACTCATCCAGAAACGATGCCTAGACAACCTGTTTCGATCCGGGAAGTGTCGAAGCGCGCAGTGGAACAAAGAGGGGGGCAGTTTCAAACCGAAGCTCCAGATCAGCCTGAGCAGACCCACGAGGCAACCGTACTGCTTCCGCGACCGTCTCGATCTGGGGGCATTTGGGCATTTTTCTGATTATATCGGGGCCCTCACGGGGCCATCTTGGAATATTTTGGATGCATTTGGAGCTTTGTTGGCGCTTTCTTTGGAGGCCTTCGTGCCCGCCTGGATCGATCCGAAGGCCATCGGTTAAGGACGGGAGCGGCACCAATTTGTTTAGTCCCGTCGGATCCAGACGCATCTTTTTGGGTGGCCTTCTTCGAGCGCTCTCGGGATCGAATGGGGGCCTTTGTGGATCCTTCTCTCGAGGCTCCCTTGGGAAATCATGGAGCCACCGTGAGGCCTCAGAAGCTCATCGAACGCCAAAACGCGAGTAGGCCAACATCTTTGACATATCAGATGTGTGTTGAAAGATGTCGGCCTCTCGGTGGTAATTAACCTTGAGGGATTCCGAGGTCACTTGGAGCAGTCGCTGGGCTGGCATCGGCAAACTTGTGCCATCTTGGATGTCATCTTAAGGCGGTTGGGGCCATCTTGGAACCGTCTTGGCCCCAGAGCCTTCCAAATATTCCACAGGGAGGCCAACAACTGTGACACATGTTCAATATCGTTGGTTGAAAACCAAATGGGCGCCACCAATTTGCATCCCCCCGTCGGGGCCAGACACATCGTTCGTTGGGGCCCTCTTGGAGGGTTCTGGGGGGTCGCTCTTTGGGCCGACTGGGAGCCGTCATGGCCCCCTAGGGGCTCTCTTGGGTGATCTTACGGCCATCTTGAGACTTCCGAGTCTCATCGGAGGTCAGAAGTGAGAAGGCCACCCGTGATTGAGAAGTTTTAGGTTTTCGAACAGCTTGGCTTCTCAGAGGTCTCATCGGGAGACTCCGTGCCCGCTCGGAGCCGTCTTCTGGCGGTATCGAGGCCTCTTAGAAGTAGATTGGAAACCATCCCGAACCATCTTTGGCTATGCTTTGCAATCTTGGACGCCATCTTGGGCTATCTGGGGCCATCTTGGACGCTGTTATGCGTCTCCTCCCCTCCGCTCCCACCCGTCCATACCCATTGTAGGGGGTCGGGGGAGGGGTTACACACCTCCCCGAAGTGGAAACAGAGGTTGGAATAACGAATTTTCTAAACCACTTGCGCCCAGATGGCTGCTGGTATTCCGTTGGAGCACATGCGGAACTGATGCGTATCCAATTCTTCCACCACCACCGCTTTTTGCCCGCCGCAAGACAGACTAGGTATCGGCGTTGTTGGTGCACTTGGGATGTGCTGTGCGCCTTAGAAGCAAAACGATCCCAAAGGAGTCACCGCAATCTGGCCGATCAGTTGCTTAATGTCGCATCCGCCGCTTCGTGAGAGTCGGGGGGCGTGTTGGGACTCTGGGTCCCCCTTCTTTCGCTTTCCAGGGGTTGTGCTGGCGCCGACTTAGGGGCCTCTTGGGCTTTGGACCTACTTGTGTTGTGGAGGTCCTCTCGTGCCGTCACGGCGCCTCCTTTGGGATGCGTCCTGGACTGCTTTGATATCCTCTTGGGTTGTCTTTCTGCTCTCCTGACGTGGGAGGTCTTGAGCCACTTTTGGGCTGTCCTGGAGTCTTCGTGCGAAGTGTCGAGGACATCTCCAGGCGAAAATGGAGCATATGGCCGTTGTCGTGGAATTGGCGAGTCTTGCTGTTCGGCGCATCTCTCGGGTTCCGTAGGACCTCTCGCGCGCCTCGCACAGCCAGTGCACTGTTCGACGCCGATCACTTTGGGGCCAGCTTACTGCGACGGCGACGGCGAGGGCGGCGGCGGCGGCGACGACGCTAGCGGCGACAACGACGGCGACGGCGGCACGGGGAAGGCGACGGCGACGGTGGCGATGGCGGTGGCGCTGGCGACGGCAACGGTGCTGGCGAAGGCGTGGGCGGCGCGGCCGGCGACGACCACGGCGGCGATCGCGAAGGCGACGGCGAGATCGGCGAGATCGGCGACGGCAACGCCCACGTCGGCGGCGACGGCGGTGGCGGCGACGTCACACTCTTGATTTCGGTTCGAACTGCTGGAATGCTCGCGCTCGGTAAGAACGAGAAGCTAGAGCGCACGCCGCTGGCTGCTGGAACGCTCGCGCTCGATGAGATGCAGTGCTGGAGTGCATCATTGTTTTCGGCATGGGTTGCCAGAACGTCCTCGCTCGACAAAATTAGGCGCTTGAGCGACATCCCGCTTAGATTTTGAAGAATATGATGAGCAGGGGGCAAGGGTAGGAGAGGGCGTGGGTGCTCGGGGTGCTCGCTTTGTGCTCACGCCTCGTTCTCAACAGGGCTACGGGCGCAGCGAGCATCAACGCGTGAGGATCGCCCCACATATTCCCCGATACATACTCATGCGCTTGTCATTCCCACTGGCAGCAATACCTCACTGACTGTAGGACCTCGTCTGGGGCGTCTTGGCAGCTTGCGTTGTCTTGGAAGCCTCTTGAGCCATCTTGGCGACGTCGTGGACACCCTCGGGCTTATCTTGGCAGCCAAAGCCGGTTGGGCACTTCTTCGCCCGCCCCTCCCCCCCTCTTCGTCCCCTCCCTGAACCGACCGGACCGACTCCCCCGGAGATGTCCCTGGGAGGGGCCAGGATCTGCGACGTTGGCAACTCCGAGGGCCAGGTTAGAGAGCATCTGAATACTGCGGATTCGACCCCATGGCGGCGATTCGAAGGCCGAACACCTGAACGCAATCATTCCTGCGGGTGCCACAGGTAAGAACACCCCATTGCAAGCGCTCCTTGGGAAAAGCTTAAAGTTAAACCAAAAGCCGGGATGAGTTCATGCTGCAGCCAAGGTAAACCTACACCGTAACGAGTCCTGAAGCTAAAATCAAGACAAAGGCTAAGTCTCAGTGATACGTCAAGTGGAGTCCCCAATACGGAGCCAAGCAGAGCCTAGCCGAGCCTGGCCTCGCCAAGCTAAGCTGAGCAGAGTTGGGCCTACTTGGCTGAGACGCTGAGACGAACTGTAACGAGTAGAACGCAGCTAACTCCAGTATTTCGTTTCTTCCCATGCTATACTACACGAACCTAGGCGGTGCGAAGAGCAAGTAAGGGAAGCGAAGCTGATTCTGATCACGCTGCTCCAAATTAGATCGAACAAAGCAGGATTGGCTGGAGTGCTGGCCGGGGCTGGTCAGAGGGTTGGACGGGGTATATGTTCCTACAGGTAGTTCTTTCAATTGTACACAGCAGCAGGTCACCCGTTGGTCATTTGAGATCGCGTACTTGCAGGCCGGTTCGAAACAGTGTTAGCATTGATGGGTCAATGGGCACAGCGACATTCACATGCACAAGCGCAAGCAAACACATTTGCGTAACATTTGCAATTCACATCGCCATACGCAGAACGCAGCGGTACCTCGCCTCCAGCTCACCCACCAGTACTTGCAGGAGGGGTGCATATCCTTGGCAGATGGGCTTGCGTCTCTTGGAACTTGGAACTCTTGACTCCCCCCGGAGACTCCAGGCAGCCTAAATCTTGCCAGACCGCACTGCAGGCGCATCCTCAGAGCCTGACACCTTCCGTGTTTAAAGCTCTGTTTGGCCGTGCCAAAGTCAGTTTGATTGTTCTCTGGCCCTCTGGCCCATTGCGGGGCAAGACCAGCATGGTACAAGGCGTCGGTGGTCAGCTCGGTCTGTCGGTGCATATTGGCGCCGTTGTACACGGTGGATTTTTGCGACAATATTGTGGGTGACGTGCTGACGAGCCTGGCCAAGCCGCTGCAGGATCTTCCCGCGGCGGTGTGCTACCTGACTTCTGCACACCCGCAGACAGATGAGGCCGTCGAGCGCTTCATCCTGAAGGCTGCTGGAAGCGGGGGAGTGGGAGGGCGCTTCAGAGGTGCCCAGGGAGCTCCTCGCAGGTCCGACGGGGCTTCGTGTGAGTTTCGAGCTTCGGGCCCCCCTCCAGGGTCTCAGCCCCTGAACCCTTGGAGCAGAGCCTCACCTTCCCAGCCCCCCCCCCCCCCCACCCTCCGAGCATAACATTTGCCAGTGCAGAGCCTCCGCCTGCAGGGGGACACTTGCCCCGACTTCTCCCACAACTTGATCCTCCCGCTGATCGCTGGCCTCCCCTACCTCTTCCGCGCCATGCAGTGTGTGCGCAGGTGGGTCGACACGCGGGAGATGCGCCACTTGTACAACCTCGGGAAGTATTGCGCGAGCCTGCTGGTGGTCGTCGTGACGTACGCTGGGCTACAGACTGGCACCGTGGTCGCCACGTCCCTCTTCGCAACGGTCTACGCGGGGGCTTGGGACCTCATGTTCGATTGGGGCTTGAGCAGGGACGAGTTGGTCAGCTCGGCTGGCGCGGAGGTTGAGAAACGTCTGTCCAACAGGACTGCCTGACCTGGCCAGTCTAGGGTTGTGGAAGTCGATTAACGGAGACGAGGCATGCTGCTAAATAATTCCCAGATGTCTAAAACATGTTCCACACATGTTTTAAAACTGTCAAAGCATGTTTGGAACATGTTGAGACCATGTCTTACACATTTTAAGCACACTTTTGATTCAATGGTAGGATTGTTATGGTGTCCACTGTCATGGCATCCACAAGTCTAGGGGCTAGGGGCAGCCTGACGGGGACCAGGCCCATGGCGGGGTCTGGACAGAGGGAGGGGCTTCGTCTTGCGTGCCTCCCGCCCTGGACGCGCCCCGACCCAACTCGGGCGCACGGCAGGAGGGGGACGGCAGGCGAGGGGGGATCGAGGAGGAGGAGGAGGAGGCGAAGGAGGAGGGGAAGGGGGAGAAGAACGAGGAGGGGGAGGAGAAGGAGAAGGAGGAGGAGAAGGAAAAAGCGGGGAGGAGGAGGAGGACAGGGAAGCGGCCCCGCTGCCACCGCGGGCACACAGGGCGTGCGAACGCTGCACGCTTCTTCTCCCCACGGTTCTCGCCCCCCTCAATCTCTTGGCATCGCTCGGACGTGTACATGGTTTCCTCCGGAGAGGACCCTCGAGGAGCATCCTGGATCCTTTGGAGAAAAACCACGCGCACGAAACCTAAAAAACCCAGGGCATGGACGTCCGAGCGATGGCGAGTTTACTCGAATCACAACAAAACGGCCGAGACATCACTTCTCCGAGGCCCGCGCGGATCTCTTGGATCGGCGCTGGGCCCCCCCTGGCGGAGCCTCCGGCGCTGCGCCGCCCCGGGCGCGAAGGCGTCCGCGCGGACCTCGGAGAAACGATGCTCACGCCGTGTCTCGCTCCTCGACTCGGGGGCCACGTGCGAGCCCTGCCCCATCCCCCCCCCACGACTTCTGAGGGGGCGGGTGGGGTTCACCTCGTTCGGGAGCTCCCGAGCAAAGTGAACCCCGCCCTCCCCCTTCAGGAATCGTGGAGGGCAGGGTGAAGTGGGGCCTGTCCTGTCCCTCTACAGGAGGAATACTCGAAAATAGTAAAAAAGATTGTATGGGGATTATTACCTAACAGCGAAGACTGATAGGTTTCTAGTGGGGTCAAAAGAGAGCATCATGACTCCTGAGGGGGGTCGGGGCGGGACCCGGGGCGGCTGCCGCCGAAGCCCAAATCGCTTGGGACATCCTCGCAAAATCGCTCTTGGCGCTCCCAGAACGCCATTCCCGGGCTACATTTTGAATGCCCGGAGCCAACTGTAGGCCACTTCGTGCTCTTCGACTTCCCAGAACTCCATTCCCGGGCCACATTTTGGATGCCCGGAGCCAACTGTAGGCCACTTCGTGCTCTTCGACTTCCCAGAACTCCATTCCCGGGCCACATTTTGATGCCCGGAGCCAACTGTAGGCCACTTCGTGCTCTTCGACTTCCCAGAACACCATTCCCGGGCCACATTTTGAATGCCCGGAGCCAACCGTAGGCCACTTCGTGCTCTTCGACTTCCCAGAACTCCATTCCCGGGCCACAGGCTGAGGCAGGCTGAGGCTGAGGCTGAGGAGGCTGAGGCTGAGGCTGAGGCTGAGGCAGGCTGAGGCTGAGGCAGGCTGAGGCTGAGGCCTGAGGCTGAGGCTGAGGCAGACTGAGGCTGAGGCAGACGCTGAGCTGAGGCTGAGCTGAGGCTGAGGCTGATGCAGGCTGAGGCTGAGGCAGGCTGAGGCTGAGGCTGAGGCTGAGGCTGAAGGCAGGCTGAGGCTGAGGCTGAGGCAGGCTGAGGCTGGGGCTGAGGCAGGCTGATGCTGAGGCAGCCTGAGGCTGAGGCTGAGGCTGAGGCTGAGGCTGAGGCTGAGGCTGAGGCAGGCTGAGGCAGACGCTGAGGCAGGCTGAGGCAGACGCTGAGGCTGATGCAGGCTGAGGCTGAAGCAGGCTGAGGCTGAGGCTGAGGCTGAAGGCAGACTGAGGCTGAGGCTGAAGCAGGCTGAGGTTGAGGCTGAGGCAGGCTGAGGCAGGCTGAGGCTGAGAGTGAGGCAGGCTGATACTCAGGCAGGCTGAGGCTGAGGCTGTGATTGCGAATGCCGTTGCCACTGCGACTGTCATCGCGAATGCGACTGCGATTGTGAGAACAGCATAATTCTACAACTGGATTATGATCTGAATATTAAGGAGAATGCTTCCAGATATGTTTCTACACATCGCTGTCAGGTTGCTTTGCCGGGATATTTTTTGACTATCTTTGAGCATCTTGGGGCGCATTTTTGGGGTATGTTTTATCCTTCGTCCAGAACCTCCCTCTAGGAGGACAGGTCCGATTTCAGGGTAGGGGGTAGGTCAGAGCGTGAATTACCTACCCCGCTTTCGCTTCCAGGCAAAACCATGCCATACCACGCGCCTCCTCGTCAAGCGGCCTGACCAGTACAGGCCGTAGTTTGACATCGCTTGGTATCTCTTGGGAGCGAGGGTGGTCAAAAGCGAGGTAGGTTAGTTTGCCCCCTAGTAGGGCTCGCACGTGGCGCCCTATAGTCTACTTGGCGAGCGCCCGATCGATAACCCCCTCCGGGCCACGGCAGGCCACCCCCCTGTGGCTCTCGTCGGCCACCCCGCAGCAGAGCGCAAGAGGGCTCCCACGAGGGCGCGGAGTCCTCTTCGCGCTGCGCGGGCCTCGCTCCTCCTCCCCGTCCTCCTCGCTCCCCTCCTCGTCCTCCTCGCCCTCCTCGCTCTCCTCCTCGCCCTCCCCGCTCTCCTCGCTCTCCTCCTCCTCCTCCTCCTCCCCGTCCTCCTCGCTCCCACGAGGGCGCGGAGTCGTTCGCGCTGCGCGGGCCTCGCTCCTCCTCCCCGTCCTCCTCGCTCCCCTCCTCGTCCTCCTCGCTCTCCTCCTCGCTCTCCTCCTCGCTCTCCTCCTCGCTCTCCTCCTCGCTCTCCTCGCTCTCCTCCTCGTCCTCCTCGCTCTCCTCGCTCCTCCTCCTCCTCCTCCTCCTCCTCCTCCTCCTCCTCCTCCTCCTCCTCCTCCTCCTCCTCCTCCTCCTCCTCCTCCTCCTCCTCCTCCTCCTCCTCCTCCTCCTCCTCCTCCTCCCCCTCCTCCTCTCCTCCCCTCGTGGGGGGGCGGCGTGGGAGCACGAAGTTAATCTTCGCGCCCCGCACTCCGCGGAGCGCGGCGCGCGGAGTTGGGGGGCCCTGGAGGAAACAGCCGCACCTGGGCTGGCGGCGGTGGCGTCGATGGCCAAGGCTCAACTGGTGCTGCGCCGGCTCCTCCTCCTCCTCCTCCTCCTCCTCCTCCTCCTCCTCCTCCTCGTCCTCCTCCTCCTCCTCCTCCTCCTCCTCCTCGTCCTCCTCCTCCTCCTCCTCCCCGTCCTCCTCGCTCTCCTCCTCCTCCACTCGTGGGGGGGCGGCGCGGGAGCACGAAGTTCATCTTCGCGCGTCGCACTTCGCGGAGCGCGAAGTTGGGGGCCCTGGGGAAACAGCCACACCTGGGCTGGCGGCGGTGGCGTCGATGGCCAAGGCTCAACTGGTGCTGCGCCGGCTCTCCTCCTCCTCCTCCTCCTCCTCCTCCTCCTCCTCCTCCTCCTCCTCGTCTCCTCCTCCTCCTCCTCCTCGTCCTCCTCCTCCTCGTCCTCCTCCTCCTCCTCCTCCTCCTCCTCCTCCTCCTCCTCCCCGTCCTCCTCGCTCTCCTCCTCCTCCCCTCGTGGGGGGGGGCGGCGTGGGAGCACGAAGTTCATCTTCGCGCGTCGCACTTCGCGGAGCGCGAAGCTGGGGGCCCTGGGGAAACAGCCACACCTGGGCTGGCGGCGGTGGCGTCGATGGCCAAGGTTAAGTCGGGCCTGTCCCCCTACAGGGGGATTTTCGACGAAATATAAAAAAGTACCCCCACAAATAGTCGAAACATGGTCTAAAAATAGTCCACGGGGACTTTTTTTTGTTTGACCTTTTTGGAGTATTTTGTTGGGTATGTTTCATTTTTCGTCGAAAATCCCTCTGTAGGGGGACACGCCCGACATAAGGCCAAGGCTCAACTGGTGTTGCACCGGCTCTCAGACCCTGGATTCCCGATCCGAGAGCTCCTCACCCAAAGCCCTCTCCGTAGCGTTGTGGAGGGCGGTCCATGGAGAGGAGGCATGTTGCCAGACAGTTTCCAGATGTCCAGCAAATGTGTGAAAGCTGGTTTAAGCATGTAAGCGAGCATGTTTAAAACATGTTTAGAACATGTCCCCGACATTGTAAGCACATTTAAAATTTCAATGATAGGACCGTCAGGGTGCCCATTGTCGTGGCATCCGCAGCCGCAACGAACAACCCCTCGAGCCACAGCGGACCACCCCCGGCTTGTCCGCCGCCCTGGCAGGAAATCCACGCGCGGGCCGGAGGTGGTGGCGACGGCAACGGCCCACGCCATCAAGCCGGAGCGGGTCGAGAAGCCCGCGCGCCACTTCCCCAGGCGCGCCCCCCGGGGAGGACGGCTCCGCCGGCGGGTAACCCAGATCCTCGGCATCGCTCGGGCGTGTGCCTTTTTCCTCCGGCGAGGGCCCTCGAGGAGCACCCTCGATCCTTTGGCGAAAAAGCCACGCACGAAACCGAACAAAACACACATGGAAGGGACGCCCGAGCGATGGCCAGGGACGGCCCCGCTGGCGGGTGACCCAGAGATCCCGGCTCGGAGGCAGGGAGCGGGACCTCCGGGGCCGCGGAGTGAAGAAAAGCATATCGCTGGAGGCCTGGGAATGGGCACCAACACCAGCACAAGAGGTTGCCTCCACCTGGGGAAACTGGTCCTACAACCCTCGTTAAAAATAAACTGAGGGATTCTGTTTTCGGTGATTGTACGGTCAGCGCTACTCCGATGCTGACGCTAGATATCTGACGTGGACGCAAGGACTTCAAGAATCCGACGACCCCTCCGCAGCATTGAAGAACACAGTTTCTAACAAGTGCCCGAGAAGATCGATCGTCGTGGTTTCCAACTGCGTTTCTGTTTTTTTTTTGACGAGGCTTGTAGATTTCGGTGTTGGTGGTAATATTTCGGACACCTTGGAAACCAAAATATTACCACCGTCACCAAGATTGGGATCGTCCTCCCTCGGTGGAGGCACACCGCCGATCTTGGTGTTGGCGTCAACCTCTAGGCCTGCGATATATCGGCTACGTGTGCCCTGAGATCCAGGCGCTGCCATTATTTTCACACCGTGCTTTGGCGCCTGGTTTCGGGCACCGGGACCGCGACGGTGCGATCTGGCTTGGGAAAGGCCGCAGGAAGATGTGTTCTAGCGTTCCAGTCGTGATTTGTCGCGATTGCGCACTGTTGTTTGCAACGTCGGATTTCAGGCAAGGAGACGCCGCGATCCCAGGAGGACCTTGACCCTGAGTTATGCACCGTCGGCTCTTCAGAGCAAGGGAAGCGCGAGGCATCAGCTCACTTCTAACATACGTTCAGTGCCTCTGTTCCGAGCATTCTACTACTGGACAGCAAAGGCACTGCAGCTATGACGTAACTTCTGGCGCAACTGTCGACACCGGGGTGTTTTTTTTCGGAGGTTGTGAGATATCCATAGGGTACCGAGTCCCGAGAGGATGCTTGTGAGGTAGCCTTGGTGTGAACATTCCAGGGAGAGGTAGGGGAAACTAAGGCGTGTTTTCCGAGGAAGCTGCGATTTGGAGGGCAATGACATAGTATATCTGTCAGGTAGCTGCTCCTTCTATGTTAACTTGCCCGCTGGTCAGCTACTTGGCCGGATAACTCGATGACTGGCACACTGCAGGCGTAATGATTGGATGAGGCACTCGCGAAGTCAGTCAGAGTTTTTTGGAACCACGGGGAATGAGGTAGCTCTGCGGCGGACGAACCGAGAGGTTGTAAGGAGCAAGGTATGAGTCATGACGGTGCGGGGGCACTTTTGATTTAACCAGGTGTCCCAGTATTTACCGTAGCATGTGTTTATGAAATGTTATGAAGCACCCTCGAGGTAGTCATGAGATGGCTTCAGGAAGCCATGGGCTGGCTGTGAGGCGGGCCATAGTCATGCGAACGCAGCCACTGGGGCCTTCGGTCGAGCTCCCTACGGGGCCACGAAACGCTGTACAGGGTGGCGCGGACGCATGCGAACGCGGCCTCTGAGGCCTTCGGTGGAGCTCCCTATCGGGCCACGAAGCGCGTGAAGGGTGTGCCGAACTGGTCGGTATTCGGAGGGCAGAGGCAGGGATGGGAGAATGGAAATGCGGGATGTGAGGAATCGGGGCGCTGTTTCTTCAAAACGAACATAACGAGCACCCACCACCACAGGATGGTTGGGAAAACCATGTTGTCGACATCGTCTTGGAACCTCCCCCCCTGGAAGGCGTCTAGACGGCCCAAAAAGAGATCAGCAAGACGGACCGAGATGGCCCCTGGATGGCCCAGATTGCCCCAAGCTGGTCCCTAAGCGGGCCCAAGACGGTCCAAGACGGATTACAATATGGCGATGTCGTCAGGGACATCCTTAAACAAGTGCGATGTTCTCAAGCTCGACTTGGTATCGCTCTTGAAAGGCCCGAAGACGGCAAAACGGAGGCCAACAAGACGGCCCAAGAAGGCCCCAAGATGGCCCAAGACGGTCTCCAAGAGGGCCCAAGACAGTCCAGTGTTGCTTCCAAGACGGCTCAAGCGGATCCAAAAAGCTTCGAGGCAGCCCCTGAGGCCCCCAAGACGGCCCAAGATGGCCCCGAGCCCATGTGGTTCCGATAAGCCCCAAGAGGTCCGAGAGTTTCCCCGAGATGGCCTCAAGAGGCACATCTCATACATTTTTCCAACAGCGTGCTCGCATCTTCACGCTCAAGATTCCGCCGAGATCGCTCCAAGACGGCCCAAAATGCTCCCAAAAGTGCTCCGCGACGGCTCAAGAGGGTTCGACGACGACTGGATCGTTTCTTTAGACGGCCCACGACAAACCCAAGACTCCCCAAGGATGAGACACGGGCGAGGGGAAAATAGGACATACGAGGAGGAAGAAAGGACAAGCCAGCGATCTCGAGCCATCAAAAAGTGAGTGTGCTTTCCGTCCCCGTGCTAAGCAGCTCGAATGGCTTTCGGCCAATTCCGCCATCGTGCCTAGGTTGTAGTTCAGAGGCCTCTTGGATGCCTGTGTGGATGGTCCTCTTGGGGGCCTCCTGGAGCTTCTGAAGGGTTTCGTCTTGGAGTGGAGGGCTCGAAATATTGGTTCGTACTCCTTCGGAGGCCTCTCTTGGGCCCCGTATTGGAGGCCCCGCAGACCTTGTGGAAGCCCTCTTGGGCCGTCCGGGGGCCCTCTTGAAGGCCTTTTGGGTCGTCTTAGGGGCGATTTTGGGCTGTCTTGGAGCGTCGGAAGCTTGACAAGGCGAGAACACAACAATCCGTCAGAAACCTAAGGAAATTAAATGATTTGGGCACCTCGGCTCTTGGAGACTTCTGAGAGCCCTCTTGGGGCGTCTTGGGGGCTTCTTCGGCCTTCTGGAGGCCATCCTGGGCGTCTCGGGGCCCTTTTGGGTCCCATTCGGGGCTTCCCGAGGGTCTCTCGGCCCGTTTTGGGGGCCCTCCTGGCTCAGAAAAAATCATGCGATGATATCCCCTGGGCGCGCGACAAAACCTGACAAACCTGGGAATTCGGGGCCGGGGGCCTTCAACATCCATTCACCCAGGACAGAGGACGAATAACTCCAAGAGACCTGAGGACTCTCTAACTCGTGCCTCAGGTGCCGGTGGCGGATATTTTATGTTTTCGTGTGAAGGGATTTGGGACAGGAGGATGTGATGCAGCATCAGCGATGCGTTCTGAACTTGCTATGTTGTTTCTTGTCCTCTTCATTTGTATTACCCTCCTCGTCATTATTTCCATCTTCTCACTCTCGCCCCCGTCCTATTGCTCCCCGTCGTCCTAGATATAGCGTTCGACCTAGGAGCGGAAAGCAGCAGCGCCATATACTTTATTTTTCAAGGTAATGTTTCCACCATCGCTCTTTCGCGCCGTCCTCTATTGTTGACGTGTCTCTCTTCGTGCAGCTAGTTTCGCCTCCAGTTCGCTCTGTAGCTTTACAAGGCGCGTCTATTGGGCCTGCGGCTTGGTAGACATCCTCGCGCGTTTCAGCTGGGTTATCACTCTGATGCCCATCAAGATCATCACCCATAATATCACTTATAGGCCCTTCAGGGGAATCCGACCACCAGTTCTGGATCTCGTGCGTCGGTGCTCAAACTCTGGGGAGGGCACTGATGGTCACCCAAAGATTGATCACCGCGCCTTTCCCAGTGTTTGACCGCCGCTGCGGACGAACCGGTGCTGCGGCGTCGGTGGTCGGATTTCTGCCTGCCCGCAGGGTGCTACTGGTGATGGCCATCTCCTCGGTCGAGATCGTGCGGCGCAGCGTGTGGGCCATCTTGCGAACGGAGTACGAGCAGATCGCCAACGGCGGCGGGTTCCGGGCCCTGCTGTGGGTTCCCTCCAAGCTGAACCAGGGCGACAAGCATCGCGCCCCCCGGAGGTCCACGAGGGCGCTGGCCAAGACGCCCCTGCTGGAGGGCGGGAGCTGAGCTAATACTGCGGGCCGTGCTGGGTTGCCGAGGGGAGGTGCAGCAGTAGGATGAAGAGGAGGCACAGGAGGAGAAGGAGGAGGAAGAGGAGGAGGAACGGGACTGGGAGCGGGCGAAGGAGAAGGAGGAGGAGGAGGAGGAGGAGGAGGAGGAGGAGGAGGAGGAGGAGCAGCAGAGCGGGGGTGGGTAGAGGGGAGGGGGAGGGGGAGGCATAGGCTGCAGGGCCCACCGCTACGGCTGGCGATGCGGCGGGTGGTAGGGAAGGCGGACTTCTGGCACGTCGCCTTCCTCGCCTCTCCGCCGGAAAAAGGTGTCTCCGTTCCCCGTTCTGTGCGTGCGGCAGCCTCTCGGCGGAGGGGGCCTCTGGTAGTAGACGGGGGCTGCCCAGGGCTTCCCCGCTGCTGCCCCGCGTGTGTTCGGTGGCGTCATCAGTCAAAGCCTTCTGTAGCGTCCCCCGTCCCTCGACCACCCTTTTCCCCTTTTCCCCTTCTCTCTCTCTCTTTCCCTCTCTCTCTCTCTCTCTTTCTGTCTCTCTCTCTATATCCCTCTGTCGCTCCCCCTCTCTCGCTCTTGCTGCTCCTTCATCCGACCTCCGCTCCTTCCTCGTCTTCTCTCCTCCCTATCCTTGTTGTGTTTCCTGTCTATTTTGGGTTGCGTCCTCTAATGTCCTCTATCCCTTTGTCTCTTCCTCTCTCTCTCTCTCGCTCTCTCTCTCTCTCGCCCTGCTTCCCTCGCTTTCTCTTCTTGTTATTTCGGACTCTCTCTCACTCTCTCTCTCTCTCTCACTCTCTTCCCCCTCTCTTTCTCACTCTTCTCTCAATATTTTCATTATGATGCTCTTGTTACCCAGCCCCCCCGTAAACCGGATCCCTCCCACCCAGGGACGCCCCAGACTCCCCGCAGTCTGCTCCCCAAGCTCTCCGGAGCGGTCCCCCGAGGGCCCCAAGAGGCCCCAGACGCCCACCAAACGCCCGGAGACGGCCCGAAGAAGACTCCCAAGATGCTTTCGAAACCCAGGACGATATCGATCTTCAATTGTTCTCTTGCATGATTTGGGGGATGCCCTTCGGTCTTCGGGGCCTCCGAGACAGCCCAGGAGGCCCGAACATCGGCCCAAGACTATCCGAAAGGGCTTCCAGGCAGTCCAGGAGAGCCCCAAGACGGCACAAGAGTGTTCCAAGATGGTCCGAAGACCCCCCCGTAGCATTCCAAATCGTGACTGGTTGTTCAGGGAGACCGCGGTCGGAAGCAGGTTGGCCCGAGGAAGCTCCCAGAGGCCCCCAGAAGGCGCCCGGGAGGCCTCCAGAAGGCCCCGAGAAGCCCTTACAAAACTCTCGTGAGGCCCCCAAGAGGCTCTCCAAGGAGGAGCCTCCGTCAAAAGACCTGAGGAGGATTGGTCAAGAATTCGCAGGGTAGGGCGAGAATGAGGAAGAGGAAGAGGACGCATGAGGGAAGGAGAATGAGTAACATTAATGTACCAACGATTTCAGGAAAAAGGCAACAAGGAGTTATCTCTAAACTGTCTGTTTTACCTTCCTGCACTTCCGCCTGCATGCCAGACTTCAAGGACCAAGGTGCATGCGGCAAAGCGCCAATTCGGTTTTGTATATACTCAATGTTTGCTTTCATCTCTTCATCTCTCTCTCTCTCTCTTTTTCTCTCTCTCTCTCTCTCTCTGTCTCCTTCCACCCTTCTTGTCAGCCAAACGGTTGTCACGGAAAATCTGGAGGACGACACATATTACATATTAGGCGTGTGGGCTCGACATTTTACCTCATCTTGCTGCTGCCGCCCATGGCAGTCCCCTGCACAAGGAGCGTGCTTAGGCCCCCAGGTCGTGCTCACAGGGCCTTTGCCCGGGGACCCGCGTCCGTGGCTTGAGGATAACATTGTTTTTTCATCTTAGCTAAACGTTCTCTCGATACATATATATATATATATCAATGTATGTATGTTTCAATATCTCTCTCTCTCTCTCTCTTTCTGTCTCTCCCATTCCCTCTCCATCCCTCACCATCGCTCCTTCCGTCCGTATCTATCGAACCGCACGGCCCTCCAATGAGGAGTGATGGCAACCAGTTTTCCGTCGCAAAACCCTCGAGACCGTGACCACTCCCATCTCAATCATCTGTCCTTTCCTGATTTCCAGCTCTTGTATACGTATCGCGAATCGCTTTCTCACGAAGTTGCCCAGCTCCTTCACTTGGTTTGAAGTTTTGTTCTGTGCTGATTATCGACTACGCACAGAGACTGGCATTCTTGCTGGCGTGCCCCAGTCGCCCTGAGCCGCGCGCCAGAGGCACGTCCGATCGCAATTCCTCCTGCTTCCGACTGTGCCTATCGGCTCGCCCACCGGCCCATCATTCCAACCATGGTGATACTGCATACGAGCCCACGTGTTTCACCCATCGCGCTGCTACGGGGCGTGAAAACGACCACAGCCACTGCTTTTCTTTTGTTGCCGCCCTCCAGCCAGCATAATCAAAGCAGTGGTTGTGGTCATGGTCGTTTAGCTTGGCACCAGGGAAATGACCACAGCCACTGCCTCTTTTTCGGCCGGCTGGAAGGTGGCGCAGACAAGAAGCAGTGGTTGTGGTCATTTTCCAGTCCCGCAGTTGCTTCCTCTGCAAGCATGAGGAGCTAGCAGGGATGCCAACCACGGTGATATTGCATACGAGTCCACGTCGTGTTTCACCCATCGCGCTGCTTCTCCTGCAAGCATGAGGAGCCAGGAGGGATGCCAAGGCCGTCCTGCACACCGGGCCCCCAGCACTCCCCCGCCGCCCCCTCGATCCGCCACCCGCCGCAGCCTCCGGCTGGTCCACCACCGCCCGGCGTGGCCTCAGTGCAGTGAGCAGCGGCCCAGCTTCTCGAGCCTCGCAGATGGTGTTAGCGTCGCGCTGGAGGAGGAGGAGGAGGAGGAGGAGGAGGAGGAGGAGGAGGAGGAGGAGGAGGAGAGGAGGAGGAGGGGAGGGGAGGAGGAGGAGGGGGAGGGGGAGGGGGAGGAGAGGAGGAGGAGGAGGAGGAGGAGGAGGAGGAGGAGAGGAGGAGGAGGAGGAGGAGAGGAGGAGGAGGAGGAGGGAGGAGGAGGAGGGAGAGGAGGAGGGAGGAGGAGGAGGAGGAGGAGGGGGAGGAGGAGGAGGAGGAGGGGGAGGGGGAGGGGGAGGGGGGAGGAGGGGGAGGGGGGGGGGAGGGAGGAGGAGGAGGAGGAGGAGGAGGAGGAGGAGGAGGAGGAGGAGGAGGGAGGAGGAGGAGAGGAGGAGGAGGAGGAGGAGGAGGAGAGGAGGGGAGGAGGAGGAGGGAGGAGGAGGAGGAGGAGGGAGGGAGGAGGAGGAGGAGGAGGAGGGAGGAGGGAGGAGGAGGAGGAGGAGGAGGAGGAGGAGGAGGGAGGAGGAGGAGGAGGAGGGAGGAGGAGAGAGAGAGGAGGAGGGAGGAGGAGGATGAGATGAGGAGGAGGAGGATGAGGAGGAGGAGGAGGAGGAGGTGGTGAAGAGTTGGTCGAGCGGGCGTTGATGCACCCACGACGCGCTCCCCCGGTCGCCCCCAGGCGTGCCTCCGGACGGACTGGCAGCCTCATGCGTGCACTCTCCCTCTCTCTCGCTTTCTCTCTCTTTGTCTCTCCTCTCTCTCTCTCTCTCTCGGTCTGAGTCCTCACCGCGAGGGCGGGGGCTCCTCCTCTGAGTAGTCCCCGCCCAATTCGTTTTGTTTCTAGCGGACGTCGTCCTTTCATGGTCACTTCTGGTCACTTCCTCCCTCCTTCCCCCTCGACTGAGGTTCTTTCTCGGCGTTCCGGCGCCACCGCCGGGCTCTCGTAGGGCCGCCCCCGCCGGGACGACCGAGCGGCGCCTCGCCTCGCCTCGCCTCCCCCACTCTTGGACAATCCTGCTCACGGAGAAGATGTTCGGCTGATGGACTGAGCATAGCAGTCGGCGGCGGCCGCCCCCGTGCCTCCCGCTGCTGCGGTTTGGGCGCGGTGGTTGTGCGCCGACGTCGGGGGGTGAGCGCCTGCCCGAAGGACTCATGGATTTTTCTTATTATTCTCATGGGCGTTTAGGATCATCTTGATCATCCTCATCCTCATCATCTTCATCATGGTGCTGAGATCCCCGGGAAAAACGCTTCTTAGCCCCCCTGGGCCCCGAATTTGATCATCCCCAGGTGGGTATTTTCGCGAGCGCAGGGTTACATCCTTCCTGGGTCTGTCATCTCGCACATCATGATGCCTTCTCTCTCTCGTTCCAAGGTGCGGCCCTTATCCTATGCACTGGCGGCCCGTCGCTTCTCTGGCCCCGCGGTGTCAGTGCGGCGCTGACACCACTGTCGCCACCGAGGGAAGTGCCCCTTTGGAGGACAACCGCTTCAAAATCCTGAACCGTGCCAGAGCACCACCCCTGGAACTCCACCGCCACGAATCAGCCGTACAATTGCGTCTTGACGATCCTGAATCGCGTCAGCAGATCAGTCCGCGGACTGGCACACCGCAAATCAATCTACCTGTTGCAGTCTGGCAACCCTACATCGTTCCAACACCATGTTTGGGACGCTCGCCCTGAGAATCCTTGACACAGTTGTAAGCTGGGAAGACGAGTGTGCGCGGCGCTAAGGCGAGAGCCGCACATTGAAAACGAACCACCCTTCATCCGCGAAACTCATGAAAGAAAACGAATGTGCGCGGCGCTAGTGCGAGAGCCACATTTGAGAAATGAACCGCCCTCCATCCGTGAAGTGCATTTGTTTAAAACAAATGTGCGAAGGCGAGGGCTACATTTTGAAAACGATCCGCCCTCCATCCGCGTTTTTCTGCAAGTTTTAAGCCGAATTTAGGCGGCGCGCATGCGAGCGCCTCATTTTGAAAGCGGCCCGCCCTCCATGCGCGAAACTGATGCAAATTTAAAGATGGTACATGTTGAGGGGAGCCAGGCGAAACGCCCAGACCGCTCTACCGAGACGTCTCGGGATGAGACAGGGAGGCGTTACTCATAAGGAAAAAGGAATGGAGGCGGAGGAGGAGTAGGAGACGGAGGAGGAGGAGGAGGAGGAGGAGGAGGAGGAGGAGGAGGAGGAGGAGGAGGAGGAGGAGGAGGAGGAGGAGGAAAAGGGGGAGGGAGGAGGAGGAGATGGGGAGGAGGAGGAGGAGGAGGAGGAGGAGGAGGAGAGGACAAGGAGGGGTGGAGGAGGAGGAGGAGGAGGAGGAGGAGGAGGAGGAGGAGGAGGAGGAGGAGGAGGAGGAGGTGGAAGAAGGGGTGGAGGGAGGAGGAGGAGGAGGAGGAGGACGAGAGGAACTGCATGCCCCACCCCACCCTGTCCTGGACGCACCCCCGGCGGCGCAGGCCCGCTGCGGGCGGCTGCGCAGGCCAAGACGTTGGGCATCGTCAGGCTCCCAGCAGCGGCGTGGGGGAGGCAGAAGCGACGAGCCAGGAGGAGGAGGAGGAGGAGGAGGAGGAGGAGGAGGAGGAGGAGGAGGAGGAGGAGGAGGAGGAGGAGGAG